TTTTTATTCTTATTTAACCCTATCCTTATCTTCTCACTTCTCTCTTTTTAAACCACGCCCCACCATCATCTCTCTCTTTTTTTATAAACCAGAGAACCACCTCCAATTCTCAAAATTTCTCAATTGTTTTGAGATGGGATAAATCTTAAGTGATGTTTCGGAAATCGAACAACACGCGGTGATGTGGCGCAACGAAGATGAAGAAATCACGCCATAGATTTTGAGAAATATGAAGAATTAAACCACAATCGACGACAAACACGGTGTATCGCTACAGACGGAGTAACAGGCCTCAAATTTCCTATTCCCGAAATTGGCGGCCCACCGTCAATGCTGAAAATTGACGGTTTGTTACTACCGAAAAGAAACGATTCGCTACTACTGAGCTCAAGCTCATCTCCAGTTTCCTATCCTCTTTTCGTGCAAATCATGAAATACAGAGGTAGACCGTGCAATCAATCTATTTGTATATGTAATTACAAGGCACCTACGACATATGGGAATGGAATTTAGGTAATTTTTAATGTTAAGATTTTATTTGTTTGTTTATTTATGTTTGTTAATTACTCATTAAACATTGGAAAATGGTTTCATTCTATATATATATTTTTTATTTTTTCTTTGCAAAAGTTACATATGTCCTTGTGTTTGTATGTGTTGCTATGTTGATTGAATTGTTGAAAGATAGTGATGGACTCATTTGTATGGTGAGTTATATGTCCTGTATTTTTGTATGTGTATTTAATATTTTTTTGGATATTTTTAGTAGTATGTTGGAGTCTTCGTGTGTTCTCAGTTTATAATATAGTGATGCTCTGGACAAGGCAATTGCAATTTTGATTCTAGTCCAAAATTGTTAATTTTTTTATTGTTAATATAAAGTTGTTTTCATGTTGTTTTACCGATGTAATAATGTTGTATTATTGTTACTTGTATGTTTTTCATAATATATATTGTTAATTTTTCAAGTTATAAAATAAATATTTGTGTTTCTTTTTAGTTAATTTAATTAATTGTTATGTATGTATTTACTTAGCTGATCATTTTTCACTTATTTCTTTGGTGTTGCTATTCTTAGGATCCATTTTGAAAAGAGAAGAAACAGGAGAAGAGATGAGACACGTGAAATCAGATGAAGAAGAAAAGGGAGAGAATAAAAGAGAGAAGACATGGAAACGTGAAGAAAATAAGAGAGAGAAGGAAGAAAGAGAAAGAGGATGGATAGAATAATTAATTATTGAATTAATTATTAAATTAATTTTATGTAACTTTCCATTGTAACTGTTTACCATTGTAACTGTTTGTATTATTTTAGAATGAATAAAGGTAATTTTGGACTTCTCCCAAACTAGGATTTTTATGTAAATGATTTTTAAGAGTTGGTTATCTATGTAAATTTCCCCAAATTCTGGCTTTTGGATGAATTCCATTATTATTATTATTATTATTGTTGTTGTTGTTGTTGTTGTTGTTGTTGTTGTTGTTGTTGACGTTGTTGTTGTAGAAGACAATTGTGTATTTATAGTAGTCAGGGGCAAATCTAGAAAAATATATTGAGGGTGGTAATATTACTTTCAATAATGACATACGTTTAATAGGAACAAAAGATGCATACGTTCTAAACTACGATAATAGTTTTCTTAAGACTTGAACGCTATAGATATTGAATCGATAAACTTTAAAAAATAACATAAAACGGAAAAAATTAGGCTCTCATTCTCTTAATTAATATTATATTTTTTCTACTACAAAAGATACATATTTAGAGTGTTTTTGTTTATCAAATTACTTCTCATGTATCATAGAATGTAAATATAAATAAAAGGCTAAATAATATAAAAGATTGTGTATAGAGAACTTACAAGAATTATAGCTAAACTTAAACTAACAAGTGAAGTGGCTTACATAACTTTTTGTTTTTTCTTTTTATTAGAGCAAAAAAATAAGTTCAATAGGATTATTAGAAAAATTTTGGGGGAACAATGGCCTCCCCCAATGTCCATGTAGATCCGCTCGTGACAGTAGTCGAGCATTACAAAATAAATAAATAAATTGAGAAAAACTAGTTTGCTTTGTGCAGATCGTGATGCATTTGTACTTGTTAGACACGTCAAAATGGAATGGCGGGACAAACTGACCCACAACTTTCCAAAATCCGCCATTTGGCGGGACGGAGCGGGCTCTAAATGGCCAGCTCTACACACCCCGCCATGGCCGCAGGCTAGACGGGTTGCCCGCCAAATTAAAAAAAGAATATATATATCAATCTAAAAGGCAAAAACTGAAAAGCCCACCACATCCAATCCATTTTTTTTTTTTTTTTCCTTTTCTTATCCTTAACCCTTTAATATCCATTCCCAGCCCACTTTTCATCTCTCTCTTTTCTTTTCTTTTTTTTTTTTTTATTTTTTATTTTCTCAACCCTACAAATATTTGTAAGCATAAGATTCAAACTGAGCAAACATTTAAATCATAACATTTTGTAACATACACAAATATACAATACAATACATGTCCAAACGTACATTAATCTACACACACGCCCGACTTTCTCACTCTCTGTTTTCAATTTTAGGCAGTTGGGACTTGA